ATGCCGCAGCAGTCATAAACTAGGTCAAATACGATCTAAACCCTTGCTTGATATCCCTTGAACTGAACTCCTGCCCTCCCTGAGTACGCCCCAAAGCGGGTTATGACTCGCTGGCTTACTGGGAGCTAAGAAGGATGCGCAGGCTTTACCGCAGTGCTGTGTAAACCGAGCTAATGCAGGCAGCCCAGCCTCCCTCCCCTTCTAGCCCCAGCCCAGCTTCATCCTGCCAAGGGATGTGTCCTCCCCATGTGCTTTCCTTGCTCCTCTTGCTGGGTGCCTTTGGTGGCCAGGGCTGACACCAGCTCTACTGGCAGAGGGCGAGGGCCTCGGGCTGTCCTGGCTCACCCGAGCCTGTCTTCGTCCCGCTGGTCGACGTGTTAACGTGTTTCACCTCTGTCGCTTCTCCTCCAGGCGCTGGTGGTGCTGCAGCTGTGGGGTAACACCGAAGTGCTGTTCCTAGACACGTGGCAGGAATTCGGCCAGCACGTCTCTGCGCTGACGAAGGCAATAGCAAAACGCCCGTACAAGTGAGTTGTATCGCTGGACTCGGTCACGTCCCAAACCCAGAGCTTAGGGAAACCTCAGCGGAAGCTACAGGAACGTTTATCTGTAGCTGCCAGCCTGTCCTTGATGCTGTCAGTGTAAGGGCCCACGCTAGATGTGTCTCAAGGTCATTTTCAGTCTCTCTGCCAATGAGAATCCTCTGTTCTCACGGTGAATGAGGTGGTGATTCAGCACTAGGAAAGGAGGGAAAATGACGGCCTTAGGAAAACCTTTTCCCCAAGGTGTTCTGGAGCTTTCCAGGGAAGGAAAGAAAATTATGAGGGGGAAAAAATATTAGTCCTGGGCAGAAAGAGGTTTTAGAAGGAAGCCCACTGCTTAATGCTAGGAAGGCTGCAACGCCTGGGGTCTGCAGGCCTGTGCTCGGTGCACGCACCGGCCCCAGGTCTTGCTCTCAGCAGTCTGTCTTTCTGCAGGAGGCAGCTGGAGTCGCAGGAGTTGCCTTTCTGCACTGCCGGGGCCTGGGCCAGCGGGGTACGAGTGGAGAAGGATGGCACAGGACTCTGGCAGGTGTGGAAGAGACAAATCCAGCAGTTTAACAGAGTCAGCCCCGCAACAGCAGCAGCTATAGCGGAAGCATATCCCTCCCCAAGCCTCCTGTTACAGGTAAGCCCTCAAACCCCTCGGTGTCCTGTTAGAAGCTCGGAGGATGCAGGCAGGGAAGGGTGCCACATGCTTCCTCGCTTAAAGGTCTTTGCCGATGCAGCAAACAAGCCATGAGTGTGAAAACGGCTCTCCAGAAAGGCAAGGCTTGTCTCCAGATTGTGTTTGACTTAAACCAAAGCTTTGTTTCAGCGTAGCCACTTACCCCTCCTGTTAGCCCTTCCAGGCCTCTCTCTGCCTTGGTCTCGCCTCACAGGACCCGCTCAAAGCGTCTTTGCGTTTTTGCTTGGCGATACATTTGGTTGCCCACCCCAGCCGGTGCAGCTGAGGGTCTGTTGGACGCATCTCACTGCCCTTGCCCAACACGGTCTGTCCGCCAGCTTTGCTTGGTTTTATTTGAAATGGGTGATGTCTCAGGTGGCTGCCGTTGCGGTCCGACAGCTCTACATCGCCCTCAGGCAGAAAACGTGTCGCCCCTGCGGGCTGTGAGGGATTTCGACAGGACACCCGAGCTCTCTTACTGCTTGCTGTCACCAGCGGCATACCCCACGCTTTCCTTGCTCTTCTGTTGTCTGATCCTTCAGAGAGCTGATTTAGCTCACTAAATTCTCCCTCTCCCTACTCCCCTTAGCTTTCTGCTGGTTCGTGAGCCGGACTGGCTCAGCGAGGTGCTGGGGGAGCAGGATTAGACTAGAATGCTGTCTGACCCTTCTGACAGCAGCTTAGCCAATTCATGAAGACATGTTTTTATCAGCAAGTGCTTGTTTTTGTGAGCGTTAATCACACAAACTCTTTCCATTAGATCAGGAACTGTGACAGAGCTTCTTTTTAAAAAGTCGCATGTAGTCAAATACTCTCCTCTCCTTTTTCTTCCCCTGGAGCTTTGATCTCTGTCCCTCGCACAGCCTCTTCGGAAGAAGTGGCTTTACAGCTCTCTCCTTGTACGCTGGCAGGGCAACACATAACTCTTCAGAGTGTGAGGTCTGTTTGCAAGTGATAGATCTTGTTTCTTCTGAGCTTTAGCCCCTGATCCTGGTATGTTGGGATGAAGGCTCACTCATGGATCCTCACTGTAACGATGGGATGGAGCCTTGCAGGGATGATTGGAGTCTTCTCTTAGAGCATCTGCGCTAACTGCTTCCTTCTCTTGTGTGCTCGAAGGCCTACGAAGAATGCGGCACAGAAGATGAAAAACGCCTTCTGCTGAGTGACATCCCAGTGAAATCGGACGTCAGCGGGAAAGACCGCCGTGTTGGGCCAGACTTATCCCGCCGCGTCTACCTCTTCATGGTATCCACCGACCCCGACCTTGTCCTGGACCTGAGCACATAGAGGGACCGTGGGCCGTGTCGGTCAGCCTCCTTGTTTTATCTGCCAAGACTCGGCAGTGGCCGAGCTGCTGCTGGCACAGCAGTGCTGCTGGGAGCCTGGCCAGGGGAAGCAGCTGATTCTGTTTCAGAAGAGAGACCCGCACACCAATAAATGTCTTGTTACAGATGCTTTCTTCAGCCTCTTGGCTCTCCTTTCCTCTTTTAGCTGCCCCAGCTTTCTATCCCCCTGGCTGGAAAGCAGGCTGCCTCCTAAAAGAGCTAAGGAATGGTTGGAACAGGGGCTGGATGTGAGAGCGCTAGTGAGCTGTCCCTGAGCAGCACAGGACCAGCTCCCCCCCTGAGACAGCCGCTTGGGAAGTCTGTCCTGCGCTGCCTTTCAGGTGAAGCCGTCTATTTTCTGCACCGTGTCCTGACTTTTAATGTCCTGCTCCCCACTGGCTCTTTGGTGAGACCGGACCTGTTCGTGTAGGTCCTGCTTGTGGCTTTCTCGGGCAGGTCGGTCTCGCTAGAGTTACTTCGGAAAACGTTTGCCAACTGTCAAAACCAGCTGGCAGGAGAGGAGTCACATCCTTGGGGTAAGACGGAGCTCAGGGCAGGGGAGGGGAGTTTGTTGGTTGAACTCCCAACACAAGGAAATGCCAGATGAGCCCCAGAAAACTCCCTGCGAAGTGGTGGGTTAGGATGGGATTCTCTTTTTCCCAAAGCAAACGCTCAGTTTTTTACTCAGAAATAGCCGCAGCCAGGACAGCAGGGGTCAGGGACCCCCCAGCGCCTGAGGTTTTGGAATTGCTAACTGGGGCCTTCCACAATGACATAGAAACCCCTGAACTTCCTCCCGTGAACCGCAGCTCGCTGGCTCAAAGCGACACCAAGTGGTGCTGCGAAAGTGGGGGGGCACCCTCTGAACAAAGTTCCTCCTTGCCAGGGATTCTTCTGCCTCCATCTGCTAATACTTGAAGTAGTTTCTGGGGAGAAGCAATCCAGCGAGGCAGTTTTTTCTGGCTGCAGCACCGATACGGATGGATTGACAGAGAGCCTGTCCTACTTCATCAAGGTTCTCATTCAAAGCCTGTCACCAGAGAAGCGAGAGCCATCTCCGCTTCAGGATTCGTGAGGTGGGAAGGGAAGGCACGGAGTCGTGGGGCTCGGCAGGGGATAAACGCACGTGGTGCAAAAGGCTTTACCGGAGCGTTTGCAGGTCTGTAATAGGAGCAGGGGAAAAGGCAGCGGCTGGAGCTCTGTGTTCCCCGTGGCCGTGCTGGGAGGAAACCCAGGGAGAGGACAGGTTGAAAGCCATTTCCCGTCCTATTGATTTCAACCCTCTTCCCCTTTCCAACACCCTTTGCCCTTGGCTGATGGCACCAGCTCCGACCGAAATCATCCGCAAATGCGCTGCTCACCGGAGGAGAGGTCAAAGGCCGGGAAAAGCCCCACGAGCAGAAGCCACGGGCTGACCGCAGGCCCCGCGGAAGGCGGTCAGAAACCGCAGGGACTGGAGCTGCGCTGGCATCACTCCTGCAGGGGTGGCAGACCCCGCGTGGTTCTGCCGCCGGGCTGCCACGAGCGCGCGGTGCTGTGGCGTCCGTCCGGCTCCGCTGAAGATCCATCCCAGCCAGACTGGCGTTTCAGCGGGAACCGCAAGAACCCTCCACGGGGCAGAGGCAAGGTAACCTCCGCTGCCTTTACCTCCTCTAGGTCTGACACGCAAGCGCTGCATTTAAACATCCCCTCCAGGCCGTTAGCTGTGCTAGCGTGGCTATGTTGGACGAGCGCCTTCAGATTCACGCCTTCAAGGGCCGCGAGAGGAAAGACAGACAGTTTCTACTTTTATTATTACAGTTTAATACAGTCTTTGATACAGTAGAAGCAGCAGGAGCCAACATGCAAAGCAATTAAAGTCATCGGGGGCTCGAGAGGGATCACCAACAGCTCAACTCCTGTAAGCAACTGCTCTCTCAACAGCGACGCAGATGCATCTCTAGGAGCCCCTGGCCCTACGTGCTGCCGCTCGATCGTGCCCCACAGCGCGACGAGTTCATCGCAGATACCAAACCAACACGCAACAGTTAGGAGGAGGGGACTGGTCTTTGTCTTTTGAGGAGTCGAGTCCGTTACGTGACTAGAGTCTAGTACGCTTTGAAACCGGGAGGCCACCTTAAATCTTGTCTCTGCTGAGAGTCTGCAGAGAAGAGGGATCCTTCAGGAAGAGGCGACGGCTTTGACAGCAGGTCAGGAGATGAAGCTCAGACACTGGGCTGCAGTTTACCTGTTTCACAGAGCTGGGACCTCTCTAAGCCTACAGGTCTTTTCAATGTACGTGATGGATGTTTAGGCTAAAGACTTCCAACAGCGTAAGAGAAATCTTTCCAAACAAGTAGAAATGGAAGTCCCCGTGAAGAAAGAGGTGCATCAGGCCTGGCTGGTCCTCGCAGACGGCGGAACAAAACCCCACCCGACTCCCTCACAGCAGTTCATCTGCAGAGACATTATGTCCTCCTGCACCTCTTCCTTTGGCAGGCCTCTGCGTCTGAGCCACAGGAGCTGTCTGAGTCGCTTCCCGATGAGGAGGAGGAGGAAGGCTTCGACGTGCTATAGTTCATGCTCAAGACCCACCCCAGTTTGTTGTGTAGCACCTGCTTGAGTCCTGGTGGCAATGGCAGCACCTCCAGCGTGTCCACGTAGTCGGGCAGGAGCTGGCGCAGGCGGTAACAGCAGAGATACTGGAGGGACGTGCAGCTGGTGCAGGAGCGGATCACCTTCATGCTGCTCTTGGCCGCCGTCGAGCACACCATGGGGTAAAACTTCTTGTTCTGCAGCTTCGTAGCTGCAACCCCTGCCGGAGGACAGCATCAGGGAGGTTTCACATTAGTTTTGACAAGGTGATCTTACTCCTCCTAACTACCCTGAACCTATTAACTACAGAGCTGTTGGAAAATGCCTGGAAAACAGCCTTTTGAAATCCCAATCTATTAAAAAAACAAATGTAACCTTCCTCCCACTCCCTTCACGCCTTGTTCTTCTACTTTGCCAGCGTTTTCTCCTGCAGCCCTGCTGCAGCCAGACTCCGAGTTCAGCCAAAGCTGCGCTGCCCCCCCGGCCCCGCAGTCCCTCTGCCTGCAGGCCGCCGCGGCTGCCCTTGCTCTTACCTATGCACTTGCGGTTTTTGAAGAACGTGAGCGTCCCGTGCCACGTGTCCAAATGCAACCCGATGATGGAGCCTTGGCCAAACCTCGAAGAGAAGTTTGTTTTGTCTCCCTTGTGATGCAGTAGTCCTTGAAACAAGAAAACCGGCGTTCAGCGGAAAGCCTGTGCTCCACAAATTCATCCCAACTCCCGCACTGTGAGTTCCCGCTGATACAGCCTCACTCGGTGCCTAAAAAATCCCTCCGTTGCCTGATCCCTGCCCTCCCACCCCAGAGTGGGCGATGAAAAGGGGAAAGGTGAGGTTTTGCAATACCAGAGGGCAGGCAGCGGCACTGAAACCCCCCATCAGTGACGTGCAACCGGCAGTCCAGACGCCCCGGAGGTTCACGCACCGGTTCTGAGGGGTCTGCAAAACGCGGGCAAGGCGAGATGCTCCAAGAGCTGCAAGCTGCAGGCAGCCGCTCCGGTTGTCGTTGACGAAGGGACTCGCAAGGCTGGTGGCCTTTTTGGCCTCAATCCCATTCAGACCATTTAATTCTCAACCCCTCAGGGCAACACTTACGCCTGCTGCTGCCCTTCCAGCCATCCTGCCGCCGCCCTGCCTGCGTTACCTGTGTAGGAGAGTCCCCAGCTGTCCTCGTCCTTGCCCAGCAGGCTGCAGAAGGTGTGGCGGTACTTGTCCAGGTTCACATCCGACGTCCCGATTCCCACCATCTGGGAGGCAAGGCCAGGAAGGAGAACACAAGCTTAGCGCCTTTTCAAGCAACAAAACTCAATCGAGACTCCACCTCCGGCTCCCCCCTCCTTCTCTTGGCTCGGTGCAGAACACCCAGAGGTTTTGGTGAAGCCAAGTCAGAGGTTTCGGGACGGAGTTGAAGGCTCCCAGCTCCAATTTCCTTTCCTAAATGAGGAGGCCCAGCTGAACTGCTGGAGAAGCTTGCTGTCCTGTTCATGGAATCGTAGAATGGTTTGGGTTGGAAGGGACCTTAAAGATCATCTGGTTCCAACCCCCCTGCCGTGGGCAGGGACACCTTCCAGTAGACCAAGTTGCTCAAAGCCCCGTCCAACCTGGCCTTGAACACTTCCTATGATAGGGCATCCACAACTTCTCTGGGCAACCTGTTCCAGTGTCTCACCACCCTCACAGTAAAGAATTTCTTCCTAATATTTAATGTAAATCTACCCTCTTTCAGTTTAAAACCGGTACCCCTCGTCCTATCACTACACTCCCTGATAAAGAATTCCTTCCGCATCTCTCCTGTAGGCCCCCTTTAAGTACTGACAGGCCGCAGTAAGGTCTCCCCGAAGCCTTCTCTTCTCCAGGCTGAACAACCCCAACTCTCTCAGCCTGTCCTCACAGCAGAGGTGTTCATCCCTCTGATCGTTTTCGTGACCCTCCTCTGGACCCGCTCCCACAGGTCCGTGTCTTTCTTATGCTGAGGGCTCCAGAGCTGGACGCAGTGCTCCAGGGGGGGTCTCACCAGAGCAGAGTAGAGGGGCAGAATCCCCTCCCTCGACCTCTGGCCACGCTGCTTCGGATGCAGCCCAGGATACGATCGGCCTTCTGGGCGACCCAGGTGCAGGACCTTGCACTTGGCCTTGTTAAACCCCATGAGGTTCACACAGGCCCACTTCTCCAGCTTGTCCAGGTCCCTCTGGATGGCATCCCGTCCCTCTGGCGTGTCGACCACACCACTCAGCTTGGTGTCATCTGCAAACTTGCTGAGGGTGCGTTCGATCCCACTGTCCACGTCCCCGACAAAAATGTTAAATAATACTGGTCCCAGTGCGGACCCCTGAGGGACCCCACTCGTCACTTGTCTCCACTTGGACATCGAGCCGTTGACCGCAACTCTTTGAGTGCGACCATCCAGCCAATTCCTCATCCACCGAGTGGTCCACCCGTCAAATCCATGTCTCCCCAATTTAGAGACAAGGATGTCGTGTGGGACAGTGTCAAACGCTTTGCACAAATCCAGGTAGATGACATCAGTAGCTCTTCCCTTACCACCAAGACTGTAACCCCGTCATAGGAGGCCACCAAATCTGTCAGGCACGATTTGCCATTAACGAAGCCGTGTTGGCTGTCACCAACCACCTCTCTGTTTTCCATGTGCCTTAGCATAGTTTCCAGGAGGATCTGCTCCATGATCTTGCCGGGCACAGAGGGGAGACTGACCGACCTGTCGTTCCCCGGGTCTTCCTTTTTTCTCGGGGGTTATGTTTCTCCTTTTCCAGTCACTGGGAACTTCACTGGACTGCCACGACTTTTCAAATATGATGGACAGTGGCTTAGCAACTTCATCTGCATCAGTTCCCTCAGGACCCGCGGATGCATCTCATCAGGTCCCATGGACCTGTGGACTTTCAGGTTCCTTAGATGGTCTCAAACCTGATCTTCTCCTACGGTGGTCCTTCATTCCTCCACCAGGAGAATGAATGGGTCCTTCGTTCTCCCAGTCCCTGTTCAAAGAACACCGGACATTTCTGCACGCCCATAAGCGACTCTGCCCCACGTACCATGTCCGTGCCGTAGACCGGGGAGGTCATCTTGATCTCCCAGAAGTGCTGCCCGTCTGCCAGCTCTTTGTTCCCCCGGATGGCGGCGGTGCCGCAGCTGTACTCCATGTGGAAGTTCACCTTGCGGTTGTCGCAGGTCAGCAGGGTGGCCGTCGACTTATTCAGGTCGTCCCACACCCAGTCGAAATCTGTTCGGGAAGCACAGAGGGGACAAGGATGGGCAAAGGCCCTCAGGGAGCGATCCCCAAGCCAAAGCACAGGCGGACATTTGTTCTGAAGGCCTGTCAGGGGGTTGTTTTGGGGTTGGTTTTTTTTTACCATTTAAGAGGGTAAATCCTCAGCTGTGCACACTGGAGAGCTGTTTGAGGCCTGAACTATTCTGCAGTGTCCCACCGGCATGGTTCGGTGCTCTGAACCCAAAGCTGTCGGCATTAACCAGCTCCCATTTTGGCTAACACGAGGCTCCGCAGACCCAGGCAGAGCCTCCTTTCTTCCTACGCTTCTCGCAGGCTCAAGGAGTAGCTCTGCCATGCCACAGGCTTTCTCGGCCAGCCCGAGCCCACCCTCTGCCTACCTCTCCCCTCTGCTCTGAGCACGCCCTGCCGCGCAGCCGGGCGCCCTGCCAGCCGTACCAGGGATCCGCGGCAAGAGGGCTGTAACCACGGGGGCTGGTTTCACTTGTGGCCTCAGCCGGATTTGAAAGCAGGTCCCCAGAGGTGAACTCTGATGCGTTAACAAGTTCAGCACTTAGCCCTTGAAACATCACAGGAGGCACGTGCTTGTAATCTTCCCACAGACTACGTGGCCTTGAGATGTAAACAAAGGAGCACCGCACGCTGGGACAGAGATAAGGGCCCCGTGGAAAGCAAAGGATCCGCGCAAGGGTGCAGTCCGTGCCGCCAGGCCAGGACTGCACCCACCTCAAACCCCAAAGGACTACGGCGGGCTGCTGGGATGCCCCTTCCTTACACTCGTCCTCCTCTCCGCACTGGCAGTCCTTGACGCGGTGGAGGGCATGCAGGCTGGAGAAGTAGGGCGCTTCGCTCTGGCTCTCGCAGTTGCAGTAGGACTCCCCGGTCACGGGGATGGCGCTCGGGATGGAAGGCGAGAGGGAGGAAAACTCTGGCTCCGAATCCGAGTCGCTGTGCTGCCGGGGAGAACGGAGGAATGGTCACTGCTGAACGCCCCCAGGCTCGGGGAGCTGGGCTGGCAGAGGTCTGCGAGGCCTCACGCACCGCAGAGCCGTGCGGGGAGGTCCCCAGGCTCGTGCCAGAGCCGGTGGCAGCACGGCTGCATCGTGCCTGGCCTGGCCTGCCACGCAGGGAGGTGAGGGGCTGTGCCAGTCGAATCACCCTGCTCTGGGACCTGGCTAGCATCTGTCTGAGCTGCAGAGACCTCTCGGCACGGGGCACTGCACGATGTGGGTATGTTCTTTGTGCCTTCCAGGGGCGAGGAGCTGTCACAGCAGGCAGGCAGCGCGACTAAGTCTTTAACACAGGTATTTTTAAGCAAACTCTGTGCTAAAGCTACAGCTTACAATGGGCAGGTTACAGCCACCTGGAGACCCGGGCCAAGGCGTCACAAAACCGGAGCACGCTGCTGAAAACCACTGCTCTAGAGAGCCTGGGAGCTGACAGAGAAGAGAGGGAGGCAAACAAGACGAGGAGGAAAAGGGACAGGAGGCCAGGCAGGGGAGAGGGCAGAACAAAGGGGAACCAGTTCAGCAGTGCGGCTGCAGCTCCTCACGCCAGCGCTGCAGACAGGCCCACAGGGAACCTACGGGAGGATTAAAAGGCTTTTGTTCACTTTCATGCACGAACACAAAAACTTGATTTACTATTCCCCAGCGCCAAGAGACCAAAGTGTCCCTGCACTGGAGGCTGTAAGAGTCAAAGCCCCGTCTCGCTCTCTCTGTTACGGGAGGCTTGGTGTCGCCTAACGGAGTCTCTTACCACAGATTACAGCGAGTTACTCTGGGTTTACATGCTGGTCAGGTGTACCTGCTCGTTATTCACCCCCATGGCAGACTTTGTAAGCAGTATTTAAAGACAAAAATCCTTCAAACTCATGTTCTTGTAGCTGTGTGAAATGACTGGGGCTTACTTACGTGCTGCCCACCCCTCCTTCTCCAGCCTGCATATTAAAAAGCTTGATTCCTGTCTTTCATTGGCCTAACCACTGCTACCTAGAAATCCAACCATTCCCGTTACTGCAGAAACACAAAGCTACTCTGACTGCAGAGAAAAGGCTCATTTTCTGGGAGCGGAGTGCCTGGGTTTGGACACCATGCTCTGGCAGTGGCCTCGTAAGGCTTTAGCCTAGCTTTGAAGCTCCAGGAGCAGCTCCTTGCCTCCCCGCCGCTGCACAGGGAACTGAACTCGCACACTCAAGAACCGGGGAAAAGAGTGAAGGATGGCGGAGGTGAATCTAAGCCACTCCTCGCACTGTTTTACTGACAGTGTTCCCATCTTCCAGCACACCTGCATGCCCGGGCCAGGCTCAGAAGTGGCGTGCACGTTACAGCACAGGAAACGTGAGAGAATTTCAATTCAAAGATACCCGAGACTGTTAACTTCACAGACTGAAGCAGCCCCACTCCCTCCACCAGCATCTACCGGCCGCACAGAGACCAGAAGTTAGCACAGCCGCGCAGCGAGCCAGGCTGGAGAACGGATCCAGTTTAAACACATATTTGGTGTTTAAATATGTGTTTAACATATTTAGGAGAAGGCTCGTTAGGCGGCCTGTATATTTTATTAAGTCTTTTCTGATTTTGGCCAGTTCTGCCTGCTGAAGTACTAGCGGCTCGGTTACACTCGGTTTAACACATATTTAGTGTTTAAACTAGTACTTAAAAAAGAGTATTTAAAAAACATTGCATGTGTTTTATATACCGCACACACACATTACATGCTTAAAAAAAGCACTTAGCTTAGTCTCGATCAGCTCCCTGGCTCAGCTAACGACAGAGCTGCGGCGCACAACCGGGGAGCAGAGTACGGGCAGCTTAGCCTTCCCTGCCTCAGGGGCCTCCTGTGCCAGGAGCCCCGCACCCCGCCTTAGAGCTTGGAGAAGGCTCGTTGGGCAGCCTGTATATTTTATTAAGTCTTTTCTGGTTTTGGCCAGTTCTGCCTGCTGAAGTACTAGCGGCTCGGTTACACGGACCTTGAGTAAGTGCCTGCTGTGGGGGGGAGAGGAAAGCTTTCCCTCGTGTCACTTCAGAGCCACCCGAGCACCAGCCTACCTGCCCGTCGGAGTCGTAGCCCCAGCCACGTGTGCCGGTGGCCCAGGCAA